GAAAAAGTATTTCTCCTTTAATTTTGGGAAGATATTTTTACTGGGTTGATAGTTTTTTAAGTACTTTGGGGAGGCCACTCCATTTTATTCTTGCTTGCATAGTTTCTGACAAGAAGTCAGCTGTAATTCTCATCTGTATTCTTTTCTGTGTGGTATGTTTCCACCCCCTCCTCCTCAACCCTCACCACAGCCTTCAAGATTTTGTTTGCTTTGGATTTTCAGCCGTTTGAGTACAGTGTGTCTAAGTTTTTTGTTTGTTTGCTTTTTTATATTTATCCTACTTGGTGTTTTTTGAGCATCTTAGATCTGTGATTTGGTGTCTTTCATTAATTTTGGAGCATTCTTGAACATTATCTCTTCAAATATTTCTTCTGTCCTAGTTTCTCTTTTCCTCCTGGTATTCAGATCACATGTATGAGAATCTTGTCCCACAGTTCTTGGGTCTTCTGTTTTAGTCTCTTTTTTTCTCTTTGTATTTCAGGTTGGATGATTTTTATTGACCTGTATTCAAACTTAGTATTTTTTTCCTCAGCTGTGTTGAGTCTATTGTTGAGCCTTCTTCGTCTTTGTTACCTTATTATTAAATTCTAACATTTCCATTTGACTCTAGTTTACAACTCTCTGATTAAATTTTCCATCTGTTTATGCATCTTGTTTACCTTTTCCATTAAAGTCTTTAATATATTAATCATAGTTATTTTAAATTCTCTGATAGTTCTGCTATCTGTGTCATATCTGAGTCTGGTTCTCTTGATTACTTTGTCTTGATAGTTTATTGTTTTTCCCTTGCTTCTTTGTGTGTCTTATAATTTTTGGTCGAGAGCTGGATATCTAGTTTGGAACTATAGACACTAAGGTATTTATGCCTAGAAATGGGCATACCTCTGTTTTTGCTAGGCCTTTAGTGTGAGTGTTGGGTTAATGTGGTAAGGAATTGAGCCATGTTTGGGTTTTTCCTGTTGCTAGGGCTGCCCTCAGTGCATCACAGATTTCAAAATTTTCTGGTCTTACTTTGTGTTTAGGGAAGGTATTGCATTGCCAGAGGGTTTTTCTCCATGCTTCTCCATGTTCCACCCTCAGCTTTAGGATTGAGCCTGCACATCAGAGAGGTTTTCACCTCTTGCTTTGCCTCTCCCCTAGCAGTGGACTGCTGCTATTTGATACATGGTACTTGCTAGCCTGAAGTGGGGGAAGGGCATTCTCTTGTACTGGTTCAGCCTCAGTCTTAGGCAAGTGCTATGTCCATGAGTATCAGGGATGGGGCCTCCCCAGTAGGTCTCTAGTAGTCTGTGCCGAGGATATTTTTGCCTCCTCCCCAAGGGTGAAGGAGTTTTTCTTATTTCATTCCTTAGCATTTAGTCTCTACTCATACCCTTAGGATGACAGGGTTTGTTGGCTTTTCCCTAGTGGTCGAGGCTTTTGTTTGGTAGAGGAGCTGGGGAGAAGGATTTGGGTGAGGCTTTGTGTCTTTTCCACAGTGCTACCCCTTACCTCCTCAGGCCTCCACCGTGAGGGAGGCTTTGTCTGGCCTTGCACCTGCCCTCGGTCCTTCTTGTGAGCATTTGGTGAGATCTGTGGAGAAGAGCTTGCAAGTGGTTATAGATTCTGCTTGTATATGTGGCTCTTCAGGGTTCTATATTCTATGCTAGTCCACATTAGGCTTTTAGTAATTGATTACTTTTTTTAGATGAATTCTCAACAGCTTGTATGGGGGCTGGTATCTGCCCCAGGTAAACAAGTGTTGCATCCCACCTTTCCTTGGAGGAGCCTATCTTTCCTCACATTGCAGGATAGTTGGTTGTTCTATTACCTCAGCTCTCTGATGGGTTCTAGGAATGTTGAGATTTTGTAAACTATGCAGCTTTTCTTTGTTCTAAGGTTAGGAGCAACACTCTTTCCAGCTTTCTGCATCTCTGGGAATGTTTTTACTCACTGACTTTTCAAGGCCTGAGATTTGAGATTCGCTGCTTCATTTGGGTACAGTTGAATACTGAATCTCAAATGAACTAGCGTTAAAAGCATGACTTATGTCCTTGCAGAAACTTGGGGACTGTGGCAGCCATGGAGCCAGTGTAGCACCACATGTGGGGATGGTGTCAGAGAGCGTCGCCGCGTGTGTCTCACTTCCTTCCCCTCCAGACCTGGCTGCCCTGGAATGTCCTCGGAGACCTCCCTGTGTTCCCTGGAGGAGTGTGCTGGTAGGTATTCTTGCTTCCTTTGGGAGTGTCTCCACGGAGCCTCCATCAGAAGGAATATTGAATCCAGGCCTGCCTAAGAATCACTAGTATGAGTTCAGGAGTGGACTCACTAAGGCTCTGTGATTGCTGTTGGTTCTGCTAACCCTGTACTTGTTAGTGTGGCTGAGACTGGGAATAGCTGCAAGAGAAGCTTACCAGTGAGATGATGGGATTTAACACTGTGGAGGATATGGAAATGACAAGGAAATATACCTAAATTAAGGATTCACCTGTGTTAAATAATTTTTAAAAATACACAAATGGGGGAGGAATGATCATTTCTTCCTAAGATTTTTTGTTATTTCTCCCTCTGCTTCTCCACACCAAAACTGTGGAAAACAGTTTTCCTTCATTTTTCTCCCCATCATGCCAAATAAGCCCAGGGGGACCACATAGACCATTATTTATAAAAAATGGGCTAAGACTCATTATCTTATCCCCTGACTGGCCTAAGTTTATTCTTTACCACCCTTATGCAGGAGGAGGAGGAAGGGACATTTGTCATTTTTTCTCTTCCTTTCTTCCTTTCTTTCTTTTCTTCCTTCCTTCCTCCCTTCCTTCCTCCCTTCCCTCCCTTTTCTTCCCTTCTTTTCTTCCCTTCCTTTCTTCCTTTTTCTTGACAGGGTCTTACTCTGCTGCCTGGGCTGGAGTGCAGTGGCGTAATTATTGCTCACTGCAACCTCAAACTCCTGGGCTCAGGCGATCCTCCTGCCTCAGCCTCCCAAATAGCTGGGACTACAGGCACATGCCACCATGGCTGACTAGTTTTTCTATTTTTGTAGAGATGGGGTCTTGCTCTTGCTCAGGGTGGTCTTGAACTCCTGAGCTCAAGAGATCCTCCTGCCTTGGCCTCCCAAAGTGCTAGGATTACAGGTGTGAGCCACCATGCCTGGCCAGGACATTTTGTGGTATCACCTAGGGCCTGGCCTTTCCCGCACTTTCTAAGCATTTCCAAGGCACCCACTAGTAGTTCCTCAATGAGTATTTGATGTAAGTAGCCTATAGATGTGCTGCTCACATGACTGAGTTAGGTTTACTTCAGCTTATGGAGCTGAATCTCATTCATTTACCGTAAGTTACAGCAACGAACAATCCTCCCTCTTCCCACACACCATCCCGCCTTCTGACGTGCAACCTCCCTTTGGTTGGCCGGCCTTTGCTCTGGTTCCGACCCTTAGATAAAGTCCTTCTGTCAAGTCCTACCTTCTTCTGCTCTCCAACTAAGTTAACCATCCTTAGTTCCTTATTTCTTTGGGATCTGGAGGAGTTAGGTGCTTTTCTGTGTTTGGATCTCAGAGCACATTTTAGCCAAAACACCTGGCAATATCTCAGCCAATGTCTTCACCTGTGGCCTTCGAAAATCCCTCTTGCTATTTCATCTTTTCATCCAGTACCATAGGCCTGTTCCCTTCATTCCAGCATCTTGAGGACATTATTCTCCCTTCTGTTGTTTTCTTACGGCAGCTTCAGACCTACGCTCTTCTCCCAGCCCTCCATCTGCCTGTCTTCTTTCTGCGTCCTGGGCCCCACCCCGAATCCATTGTTTCTATAGTTAGATCTCATACTGTTTTCTAAGGCTCTCTTCTCTGTCTACTCATTTCTTTATAAGTCCCCTTCACTTTCCACAGCTCCTTCCTTTTGTATAACTTCCATCAAGTACATCTCATCCTCTCAATTTTGGGATGGCATATTGTATTCAGACATTCCATCTAGAGTTCCATATACTTAAATGAATTTAAAATCAGTTGCCACTGGTGTTGTCGTACTGTTCTTTTAGAAGTGACAACAATATCAACCATGTCTTGACCACCTGCTGTGTGCCAACATTTTAAATACATCATCTCTTGTAAAAAAAAAAAAGTCATATTATTTCATGCCCTGGCATCTTAATTCTTTAATACTGTATGGGAACTGGAAATCTGTACATTATAAATTAGCAAGAAGGGTAAGTGCTAGAGACTCCCCTACTTCTACTCTAAGTGGTCCTCAGATAAATGAATATGTGGGTAAAAATGATCCTTTCTTCCAAGTGTTCTTTTTTCTACTCAACCTGTTTTCCTCTCCTTGGGAATGTAAAGATCTGTTTGCAGGCTGCATAGCATCAGGCAATCTCCTTTACTGCAGGTGAAAGGGGAAAGACTAGTTGAGGAAGAGATGGGAAAGCCCAACAGCTTTTGGGCTTTTCTCCAGCTGTGGTTTTTAAGGGAACTCACTAGAGTCACAAGATAAACAGCTAAGTGAAGAGGTTCAAAATGGGCAATGCTGCTACCCACTGTCAGCAGCAGCTACCGCAGATGCGAGAAGTGATACAGCAGGGAACAAGTCTTTCATCATTCAACTATTTTCACTTGGTTAGGAGTTTAGAGGTTTTTTTTGGCCTTAAAAGAATGTTTTCATGCCAAGGTCTGAATGTAGCTCTGTGTTATTTGGTCTGTCTTGTTCAACAAGAGAGTAGGAGGATCCAATTGCTGTTGCACCCACATTCCATCTGGTGGAACATTGATCATTTTACTATTACTTTTTAAATAATGAATCAATTAATTAAGCTGATGTTTATTGAGTACCAACTATGTGAAAGTTCCTGTGGCTGGGGTTGGGAATATGTTAATAAGACATGGCCCTGTTTTGAAATGTCTTATGATATAGTAGCTCAGAAGGCACATAAATAGGCTTAATACACAGTACCATATAGGGCCTGCAATGAGAAAGGTATCCAAAGCTTGCTATGGAAGCTTCAAGGGGTGATAATCCATGCTGGGAATACCTCCATTCTTGGAAGTGGTGATATTTGAACTAAAGATAGAGAGCGGAGAAGGTGTCTCCCAGCTGAACGAGGTGAGGAGGGGAGTTACAGCTAATGGAGCAGTGAATGGGGGCATGGAAGGTGATGGTACATTAAGAGACCTGGAGAACTGCAATAGTTTAGGGTGGCTGGAGGATAGAGTGCTAGGAGGGAGTGGTAGAGACAAGGCCTGAGAGGTAGGCAGGGTCCACATCCTGAGGGGCTTTGGAGGTTTGGACCTGTGTGTTTGAAGATCTCCCTGGCTGTAGCATGGAGTATAAATCAGAAGGGTAGGAATGGCAGCAGAGGTGCCTGTTGAGAGTTTTTCAGACACTCATGTGTCAAATGAAGTGCTGGCAGTGGTGATGTGGGAGAAGAGGATTCAAAGACTCTTGCGAGTGATGGAAAGGGAGGCATGAAGGATGAAACCCAGGGTTCTAGTACTGGCAACTGCGTGGACCTGGTGCCATTCCCTTCAGATCAGGTATATCAGAGGAAGCACAGTTTCTGGGGGAAGATACTGAGTCTTGGGCATGTTGACCCAGAGGTGGCAGGACATCCAGTGGAGACCGTAGAGCTAGTGGAGCCAGGAATGGGATCTAGATCTCCCTGGCTCCAAAATCCATGCTCTTCTCTCTAAACTACATAAGTGAGTGTTCTCACTGACACCAAGAGGGAGAGAAAGTTGCAAGAAGTATCTAACAGTAGCCAATGCTACAGGATGAATTTAAATTTGGATATTAAGACCAAACTCATGACCTTGGCAGGAGCTGGTCCATTGGAATGTTGGAGACAGGTTGCAGGAGACAGAGGTGATAATGTGGGACTAGTAAGTCAGCAAATATGGACTGCTTTTTCTGTAAGTGTGGCTGGGAAGACCAGGAGCCGAGATATGGCTGTGGCAGTGTGGAAGGGCTGAGAAGGGTTTTTCTAAAGTGAGAAGGGGGGAGGGGCAAAGATGGCAGACGAGAAGCAGCCTGCACATGCTGCTCTCGTGGAGAGGATTGAAGATGCCGAGTAGATGATCACCTTTGGTTTGACTGACTGAGAGAAAACATTGGGAATCAACAGCAAGGTAAAGGGAGGCTCCCAAAGTGAAGGAGACGGAAATGGGGTGACCTGCTTGGCAGGATCTGAGATACCTGGGGAAGGCACCCACAAGTGGGGGACGGACAGAGGAGAGAACCCTGGGGCTCCACACTTCCCTGCAGACATTGAAATCGGAGCTGCAGGAGGGCTCCCCCACCCCACTGCAGCAGGCCTCCGGACTGACGCAGGGAGCTGACGGGAGACTATGCAGCAGCATTGCTCCGGAGAGAAAGTACAGCGGAGTCCCACTGGCTTACGAACCTAGGGTGCTGCAGCTGGTGCCATTTGAGGTCCTAGCCCCAGAGCACTGTGTCTACCCCAGTGTTAGACCTGTTGTTGCTGCCTTCCCACTGCCCCTGGTGGGCCAGGGCAAATGCCATGCTGCACATGCTGACTGCCTTTGACAACTGCAGAGGAATGGGGAGATGCAGGAGAGCAGCAGTGTCAAAGGCTCACAGTGCACCTGCTCCTCTACCTCCTGGTCAGTCTTCCAGCGTAGGACTCAAGCACACCATCCAGGGGCCTCTCCCTCTCTTCACTGAGCAACAGAGTTCCCAGCAGAGATCAGGTGCACCACAAAGCTATCCATCTTGAGCTGAGAAGAGGTTCCAGATGAGAAGGAACCAGCATAAGAACTCCGGCAACATGAAAAAACAGGCAGCTTTGACATCCCCAAAGGATCACAATTGTTCTTCAGCAATGGACTTCAACTAAAAGGAAACTGAAATGTCAGATATGGAATTCAGAATATGGATGGCAAATAAGGTTAAGGGGATCAATGACGAAGTTGAAAACCAACACAAAGAACTTCCCCCACCCCCCCAAATTCAGGACATGAATGAAAAATTCACTAAAGAGATAGATAATATAAGAAAAAATGACAGAACTTCTAGAAATGAAAGAGTCATTTAGGGAATTTTAAAATACAGGAGAAAGTTTTAACAACAGACTAGACCAAGCACAAGACAGAATTTCAGAGCTTGAAGACAAGACTTTCAAATTAACCTAGTCAGTCAAAAATGCAGGCAAAAAAATCAAGAAGAATGAATAATCTCTCTGAGAAATATAAGACTATGTAAAGCAAGCGAATATAAGAATCATAGGTCTTCCTGAGGGAGAAGAAATAAAGGAAAAAGCATAGAAAACCTATTTGAGAGAATAATGGAGAAAAAATTCCTTTGTATTGCTAGAGATTTAAACATGCAAGAAGGTCATCAGACACCTGGAAGATTCAGGCAAATGGGACATCACCAAGGCACATAATTTAAATTAGCAGTGGCAAAAAAATAAAAAAAGACAAAGATGGTCATTCTATAATGATAAAGAGAACAGTTCAATAAGAAGATATTACAATCCTAAATGTATATGCGCCTAACACAGGAGCGTCCAGATTTATAAAACAAATTCTACTAGATCTAAGCAAAGAAATAAAGAGCAACATTGTAATAGCTAGGGGCTAGAACACCCCACTGACAGAACTGGTCAGATCATCAAGGCAGAAACTCAACAAAGAAACAGTGGATTTAAACGAGACTCTAGAACAAATCAACCTAACAGACATTTACAGAACTTTCTGCCCAAACTGCAAGAATATACATTCTTTCATCCAAGTACTAACCAGGCCTGACCCTGTTTAGCTTCTGAGATTAGGCATGTTCAGGGTGGTATGGCCATAGACATCGGGAAAATATACATTCTTTTCATCAGCACATGGGACATTTTTCAAGACAGATCATATGTTAGGCCACAAAAAAAGTCTCAGCATATTCAGAAAAATCGAAATCATACCATGTATCTTTATAGACCACAGTGGAATAAAACTAGAAATCACTTCCAAGAGTAACTCTTAAAACTATACAAATACATGGAAATTAAACAACCTATTCCTGAACAATCCTTGGATCAATGATGAAATCAAGATGGAAATAAAAATTTTTCTAATTGAACAACAAAGACTACACAAGCTACCAAAATCTCTGGGATATAGTAAAAGTAGTCCTAAGAAGGAAGTTCATAGTCTTAAATACCTACATCAAAAAGACAGAAAGATCACAAATTAACAACCTAATATTACACCTCAAGAAATTAGAAGAACAAACCAAACCCAAAGCTAGCAGAAGACAAGAAATAACAAAGATCAGAGCAGAACTAACAAAATGGAAACAAAAACAACAATACAAAGGATCAATGAAACTAAAAGTTTATTTGAAATTACAAACAAAATCTATAGACCATTAACTAGATTAGCCAGAAATAGAAAAGAAATGACTCAGATAAGCTCTGTCAGAAATGAAAAAGGAGACATTATAACCCATGCCACAGAAATATAAAATATCATCTATGACTACTATGAAAACCTCTATGTAAACAAACTCCAAAATCTAGATAAAATGGATAAATTTTTGGAAACACACAACCTCCTAAAGTTGAATCAGGAAGAAATAAAAATCTGAAACAGGCTAACAACGAATACAGAGATTGAAACTATAATAAAAAATCCTCCCCCCAAAATAAAAGCCCAGTATCAGATGGATTCGCAGTTGTATTCTCCCAGAACTACAAAGAAGAACTGGTAACCATTCTATTGAAACTGTTCTATAACATCGAGGAGGGAATCCTCCCCAATTCATTCTATGAAGCCTGTAACACCTTGATACCAAAGCCAGGAAAGGACACAACAACAACAACAAAAGAAAACTACAGACCAATATCCCTCATGAACATAGATACAAAAATCCTCAACAAAATACTAGCAAACCAAATCCAACAGCACATCGAAAAGATAATTCACCATGATCAAGTGAGTTTCATCCCAGGGATGCAAGGATGGTTCAACATGTGTAAACCAATAAATGTGATTTTCCATATAAACAGAATTAAAAATAAAAGCCATATGATCATCTCAATAGATGCAGAAAAAGCATTCAATAAAATCTAGCACCTCTTCATGATAAAAACTCTCAACTAACTAGGCATAGAAGGAACATACCTCAAAATAATAAAGTCATATATGACAGACTCACAGCCCACACCATACCGAATGGGGAGAAGTTGAAAGCATTCCCTCTGAGAACTTAACAAGACAAGGATACTCACTGTCATCGATTCTATTCAACATAGTACTGGACGTCCTAGCCAGAGCAATCATGCAGCTCCAGGTGGTGCTTGCACTTGATGAAACATTTTGATGACCATGGGACAAAGCAGTTTGAGAGAGCAGGGAAAAAGAAGACGAACCCACACCACGTGGAGAGTAGGAAGGCGAGTGGGCAGCTGAAAATAGAAGAGGGAGAAAGCAGTGGCTTTAGCACTTAGCAAAGACAGTTTCGGGATGTTATTAAATAGAAGGGGGAACTGAGTTGTATTATATTGCTGACGATCTTATTTTCATTAATTAGTTTCTCTTACAATGTACAAATTAGGCTACCTAAATTTAACGTACCTAAATCATTTAACATTTCAAATTTTACACTTGGTAAAAGTTTCCAATGTGCCTCTTATAGGTGTGTTTAACTAGATACCATGTCTGCATTATCATAAGCGAAAACCTTGGTTTTTACCTTGAAATTTCCCTCATGCTGCTTCTACGCAGAAAATTTAAGATGAGTTCAGCAGGAGCTGGCGAGCACAGGCACTGCCTTGATGGTGGCTTACCCAGTCGCCTCACTTCTGTGGGTCTCTGTTTTTGAGGTGGTAACCTTGTTTGGCTTCAGCTACCAGCAGAGATCCATATGTATGACCAGAAATTGTTTATTTTTCTTCTTTCCTTAACTGTTAGATAATTAGATCAAGCCATTCAGTGCCCTTAGAACCACACGGAGAACATAATACCAGAGAATACGTTTGTTCTTACCTTTTTTTTTTTTTTTTTTTGCAGCTTTCTGGCCATCTAGCCCATCTCCTCTTCAGCCCCAGGTTCCAGTGAAGTCCAACAACATCGTGACGGTCACTGGTATATCCTTGTGCTTGTTCATCATCATCGCCACCGTGCTCATCACGCTGTGGAGGAGGTTTGGCCGCCCCCCCAAGTGTAGCACCCCAGCTCGACACAGCTCTATCCACTCCCCCGGCTTCCGGAAGAACTCGGACGAGGAGAACATCTGTGAGCTGAGTGAGCAGCGCGGGAGCTTCTCGGACGGGGGTGACGGGCCCGCGGGGAGCCCCGGGGACGTGGGCATCCCTCTGACCTACAGGCGGAGTGTGCCTGCCACCCCCGAGGACGATGCCTCCGGCAGCGAGAGCTTCCAGTCCAACGCCCAGAAGATAATCCCCCCTCTGTTTAGCTACCGCCTTGCCCAGCAGCAGTTGAAGGAGATGAAGAAGAAAGGTCTAACAGAAACCACCAAAGTGTACCACGTGTCTCAGAGTCCCCTGACGGACACTGCCATTGACGCTGCTGCCAGCGCCCCCTTGGACTTGGAAAGCTCAGAAGAAGCGGCGGCAAACAAGTTCCGGATCAAATCCCCATTTCTGGACCAGCCTGTGGTCAGTGCCGGGGAAAGGCCTCCCTCCAGGTTGGATTTCAGTGTGTCTCAGGCCAGCTGTGCCGTCAGCCCCAGCCAGACCCTGATCCGCAAGTCACAGATGAGGCATGTGGGCAGCAGAGGGGGCCCCTCGGAGAGGACTCACCCCAGGAATCCCCACTTCAGGAGGACAGCTAGTTTTCATGAAACCAAGCAAGCCCGGCCATTCAGGGAGAGGAGCATGTCCACTCTGACACCACGGCAGGCCCCTGCCTATAGCTCCAGGACGCGGACCTGGGACCAGGCAGAGGACAGATTTAGGCCTCAGAGTCGAAGTGCCCACATGTTTCCTGAGAAACCGGAGCATTCCCAAGGGGCAGGGGGAACCAGTGGTCCATTAAGCCCTGTCCCTAGATCCTACACCGTGGGACAGCCCTCAAGGAAACCGGACCTGGGGGATCGCCAGGCAGGATTAGTGGCAGGAGTTGAGAGAACAGAGCCTCATAGAGCCCGCAGGGGACCGTCCCCAAGTCACAGGAGTGTCTCAAGAAAGCAGTCTTCCCCCACATCCCCTAAAGAAAGCTACCAGAGGGTCAGTCCTCTGAGCCCTTCTCAATGTAGGAAAGACAAGTGTCAGAGCTTCCCTGCCCACCCTGAGTTCGCCTTCTATGACAATTCCTCATTTGGCCTCACAGAGGCGGAGCAGAGGATGCTGGACCTCCCAGGATATTTTGGGTCAAATGAAGAGGATGAAACCACAAGTACACTTAGTGTGGAGAAGCTGGTAATCTAGACCAAGAATCAGACCAAGACTTTACACAGCTGGGCTGAGCTGCTCACATTGTTCTGTGGACTGTTTTGTATGACTATTTGTGCTGTAGGACAGAATGTGGGCAGGAAATAACTCACACCAGAGGATGATGTGTGTGTACGCATGTGTTCTAATTCGTAAGGAAGAAGTTATTTATCCTGAAGTTTTCCCTTTTTTACCCCATTTCTATTGGTTTATTATTAATAATGATAATAAAATTTAAACAGCAAGTGGGGCTTGGTCTGTCATATGGATGTGAAAGATGGTAAGATGTGACTCATGGGTATGACATGCTTTAACACTACATTGGCAATTTCCAACTTGAAGCAGAAATCTGGGAGCCTGAACTAACAAGGGCTGGAGCAAAGTCAACTTGGTGTCACAACTCTGACTTGTAATTTATTAAGTTATGAATACATTAAGAATTTGACTCCTACCAGGACAGTATAGAACAGATTTTATATTTGGCTGATTAAGTTAATTGTGACCATTAGACCGCTAAGCTACTTAGAAATGGTGATACCACAAGATATTCCAGAACTTTCGGGCCAGAGTTAGGTGATATCTTAAATGTTTTTTAATACAATCAAGAGGTCCAGGTGACTTGACAAAATTATGTGAATTAATTGTGCTTTGGAGAAATAGCATCAGCTGATTGTTCAGGTAGTGGGTCAGATGAAGACCTATCCACTGTTGTTCTAAGCAAATAAGTAAACATTTTGGAGAGGAAGGTATTGTCTCCCGAGAAAGCATCAGCTGGAAAATGGGCAGTAGGTGCTGACTGGGACACTGACCTGGCACTAGGATCCTGATCGTGTGTTCCTGGACCAAACTGGTAGCAGAGACCCCGGAGGGTGTCATCCTGAAACTGGTGCACACATATTTTTAAACATAACTTAATCATGTTATTAAGAAAATGCATGAATTAACCTTAGGTATATAGAAAGCAGGTAGACTAGTTTATGATTTTACAGTTTAAGCTTGTTTAATTAGAAGAAAGTGTTAAAGAGGGAAAAAGAGGAAAGAAGTCTTTTTAGAAAGTTAGAGTCATGTTTGCTTATTCAATCTTCCACGTTTTACAGACAAGGAATTTGGGACCCAGGGAGGGTAATTAACAGCACTGGACAGGATATGGACTGATACCCTACTCTAGATACCGTGCTGTTTGCACTCTGCCACCGCAGCCTTTGCAAGTCCTCTCCACGAGCAGAAACCAGGAGAAATCTTTCCCTTTTTGCAATAAGAGGGCATGAATAGACACCTCTACTAGCTTTTCCCAAAGGAAGCAAGCTTTCTGCTACTTAATGAGATGTTGGGACTGGTCTTGCAACTTGCTTTGTTTGGAAGTCAGAGCTGAACAAAAGAAGGTGAAGGTTGTTTTCCTTCATTGGAAGTCTGTGGTCGGTGACCACGTGGGCACTCTGCAATCTCACATACTTCCTCTCAGCCCTCAGCCTAATGACTTATCTGCATACACTTGAGCAGCTGCACTTTCCTTCTTTTTCACCATGACCTCTCTAACTGCCACACCCATCCTGCCTTTTAGATTGTTTTCCTTCTTCCTTTTAGCGTTTATCAGGATGTCAGCGGTGGTGAGGTTTCAGGGACCACTGGAGAGAGGAGACTTATTAATAGTTGGGGGAAAGAATCACAAATCCAAATGTTGTAATTTTGAAAGTTTCTCTCATATTTGTGGCACTGTCACTTCATTTGTGCCATTTTTATTTAAAATTAAGATATACCTCCTTTTTGGAAATGATTTAATAATAACTGTTTACCTTTCAGGAACAGGAGGAGTAGATTATTCAGGGCTGTCTGACAACTGATATGTGCTGATGCAAAGAAGAGGAAACCAGCCTTTTTAATCTTCATTTTCTTTGTTTGTCATATTAGAAAGCTTTGTTCTCTTTCCAAGTTCACAGGCCTGTGTGCCAACCTTTGAGGACAGAAGGTACATGCTCACTCATTCCTGGTTTCACAGTGACTTACCCTACAGTGTCAAACTGAGACCGAAATAGCTGTGAGAAAGGTAAAAACTAAAGGAAAACACTGTGAATGAAAGATTTTCTATTAAATTATATTTTTCTCCATTACAATCACCCATCTAAATTAATATTTCAGTGAGCTAACACCAGCATATAACATGTTCACCTAGCCCTGTTTTCTGGGGCTCTCACCAAGAGTTAATCTCTACATTTCAAACTTAAGCTAATTTGGTGTCTGCCTCTGAGAAAGAGAAAAGAAGATGCCTCAGCATTGTCTTTGATGGATAAGTGGTAAACCGCATTAGAAATAATCAATTTTTCACCATCGTGTCCCTAGGTCCTAGCCCTAGTGGCTACCATGGAGTAGGAACTCAATAAAGATTTGTTGAATAAATGACCGTATTCAAAAGCCCTCAAACTATATTTGTGGTTGAATTAGAATAATTCTTCGTAACACTTTAAATCTTAAACAATTATGAAAGGTATGTATTCCTGTGAGATATTGTGAGATTTTAATTTCTAGATGTCTCTCTCCACACATGAAGGGATTCTCATCATTTTGGTTTGTTACCCTGGCTGAAGGCGAAGGTGTCTCTGGAATCCATTTCAGTCTGTGGTACACAGTAGTCACTTAATAAGTGTTGAATGTATATGAGAGTAACCTTCAAGTGGGGGGGGCTCTACCTTCCGAGCAGTCTCCATTCACCCCACTCTCCAGAGTCTGCCCCGCCTCCAAGGCCAGTGCTCCCCAGTCACCCCTTCTACTAGGTGGGTTCAGCAGAGCTGGCGTACTCAGGTGTGCCAAGCCCCAGCCACCACTACCCAAGGATAATCCGGTCCTTCCTACCAATTTGTCCTCTAGTTCTTCACCCAAACTTGACATACTAAATATGTAAAACTGCTGTTTTATGACAGGCAATTTCTCATTTTATGCTAGATATGTAACTGTGTAAAATGACATTGCACACTTTTTATTAAGTCTGGGCAGTTTCTGGGTCATTTTTATGCACAAAGGATGATTAATTTGCTACAACAGCTCTTGGAATTCATGGAAACACATTTACTGGTTTATTAATATACAGGATATTATGAAGGATGAAGATGAAGAGATGCATAGGTGATGTATGGGAGAAGCGTATGGAACTTCCATGCCCTGTCCAGGTACACCACTCTCCAGGAACCTCTGCATGGTCAGCTGTCTGGAAGCTCTCTGAACCTAGTCCTTTTGGGTTTTTATGGAAGCCTCATTATGTAGGTAAGACTGTGATTAAATCATTGCCTATTGGTTGGTCAACTTAACCTTAGTCCCTCTCTTCTTCCTGGAGGTTAGGAAGTAATCGTGCCTGGTCTTTCCTGTGACCAGCCCCAGCCTGATGCTACCTAGGTGCTGCCAGCTGCCAGTCAACTGGTGTCAACAAAAAGATGCTTACCACTTTGGAGATTCCAAGGATTTTAGGAGTTGTATGCTAGGAGACTGGGAGGATGACCAAATATATGATTCACAATATAACACATACATACACATAGAGGATCAATTTGGAGGGGGTATAAGAAGAGACTAATAGGAATTCCAGAAAGAGCAGAGAAGACTGCAGGGAGAAAGATGACAAAGAAATAATGCAAAAAGAACCTCCTGAGTGTTCATTAGAGGGAATGGAAAAGGCCACACATTGTTTGGAAGTTTTAGAACAAGTTATACAGAGAAGATCCTAATAGCTTTCCAGGGGTAGGGGAACACAAACTTCTACAAGAAACAAGAATCATGCTGATGCTAGATTTCTCATCAGCTACTCTAGAAGCAGTGGAATAATAGCTCCTGTTAACTTAAAAATCACATGTTCTATACATTTGGAAAGGAGAGCTTTATTTCTTGTGAATGGTTGTAGCCTGCAGGGTAGCCATTCTAACAGGCTGGGAAGCAGAGCCTCTAGCCAAAGACCAGAGACTGGCATTTTAAGGGAAGGAGGTGTAAGACAGGAATTTAAGCTTAACAGGTTGGTCAAGTATACATATTCAACAGGTTACAGGAGGAGCTATGAATATTCATGAAGGTGGTCCTGACACATGCGTATAAAAAAACATGCATGTAACATATGACCCATGTTCACCTTGGGTCCTGTGTTACATAATACACTTAATTAAATGTTACAATTAGACCCTATATGTCAAAAGGTCTTTTCAGGACATGAAGGCAGTCAGGTGCACGGCCTCTGTAAAACCAGCCAGAACCAGTCCATGCTCCGTGGTCTTCTTTTTTTTTTATTCCCCAGACAGGATATTCAGTCAAGGTGGTCCTCTTATCAGGAGAAAGTTACTGAAATCAGTCTTTTGTCCAATCAAAGCTGTAGTTAGGGCTTATGGAACAGGGGCTGGGGGTCAATGCCTGGTGATGAGCTGCACTTGTTTTAATAGTGCTTATCCTGAGGCCAGTGCTTGTTTAGCTGCTAGAGAAAAAGAAAACCTGTGGTGGTTAGAACATAGCTTATTCTTTAAGTGTCAGGGCACATGATTTAACCCCTGCCTGGCATGGCCTTAGGTGCTATTTACAATTTGGTATCTTATTGCCACAAAAAGTCTGTTCAGTGTCCTGTCAGTCTTATGATCTCTATTTTAACTTTAGTGCTGGTCAGTTGTTGTGTCTAAACCCTAAAAGGGAGGAGGTATAATGAGGTGTGTCTGACCTCCCATCCTACCATGGCTGGGAATATATTTTTCACATTTCTCTGGGGTCCCCTTGGCCTAGAGAGGATCCGTTCAGTTGGTTGGGGGCTTAGAATTTTATTTTTAGTTTACACTTCAAAGTTCAGAGGGAAAATGATTCTTAACTTGAGACACCTACACCCAGACAAATTACTTGTGAGGGCAAAATAAAGACATTGCTAGATGTGCGAAGACTCAGAAAGCTTACCTGCCAGACACCTTTTCTTGAGGAGTTATTTGAGCATACACTCCATCAGTAAAACAGCAAAGTGATTGATGCAAGGAAGCCGTGGGATTCAGGGAGCGGTGGATGTGACCCAGAATGTCAGCTTGGTGAGTGACTTAGCCACCAGCTAGTATTTGAGCAAGAACGGGGGATCCAGGAAAGAAAGGGATTTCACAGAACACAGAGTTGGAGGGACTTGAAGGTACACTACAGCCAAAGGTTGAATGAAAATAAGCACCTAGAAATTATTTTTTAAAAAAAGACTCTATAAGAAAATCATAAATATGAATCATGTTAAAATAAGACATTAATG